TGAAAGCTGCCTTCCACTCTGTTGACTGCGTTAACTTGTGGCATTGCCTGTCCATGAAGGGCGTGCCAGCTAAACGTTTCCATACTTAAGTCTCTACCGTGATTCCCGAGGTCGTGTAAGCGTCTACAGAAAACTCCTTCCTGAGTTCTTCACAACAAATGGTGTTCGCCAGAGTTGTCCCATATCTCCATCTACAGCTATGTGACCGAAATGATCTTGCTTGACTCGGTTCTTTTAGATTGTTGGAGTGGAATTTTGCCAGACGACCGACTGTCAAAGCTGGAGTATGCGGACGACATAGCTCCTCTTGGGTCTGACGCAGTGCTTATGCAAACGCTACTGAATTGACCGACGCGTAGCGTTTCACACTTCGGCATGTGCTCATCACTTTCAAAGTGTAAAGTACTGTTGCAGGACCGGATCGACACACCAGCCACTGGAAGTGGTGGATCGGTTCGCTTACCTTGGTAGCTGTGTCACCTCTGGCGGTCACATCACTGAAGTGGTTACTTCGCGTATCAACAAAGCTCGTGTGGCTTTCCAGACACTCAACCGTCTATAAAGACGGCAGGATATCAGCTTTTCAGTGAAAGGTAGGATGTATAACGTTGCGATAAGGCCTATGTTACTGTTTGGATCAGAGATCTGACCAGTTCGCGGCGAAGACATTAAATGCTTGGCTGTGTTTGACCACCGGTGCTTGCGGAGTATTGCTTATGTCTGGTGGGAACACCGGGTGAGCAATGTTGAGGTCCGCCAAATGGTTTTTGGCAAGAAACCTTTTGGCGCCTCTCGAGTGTTTGCTAAATCTTAGTCGCTTGTGTTGGCTAGGCCATATTCTCCGTATGCCCGTTGATCGGCTTCCTCGGCGTGTATTATACGCCGTGGCCGCACGAAGTTGGGCGAAACCTCGAGGTAGCTATTCCAAAACGTAGCATAGAAGCTTGAAAAAATTGACTGAGAGATTTGGTCAGGCTGGTGCCTTCCGTCTGGGTGGAGGCCTCGGGATGGTCCACACTAATAGTTGGAGATTGTGTCAGACGTGTCGCAGTCACGAAGTCAGTAGCGTTCCTGCATTCGGTTTCTTTCATCTTGTTCTTAATTTCGTTCCATTCTGATTAGCCTAACATTTTTCCTCCTTGCTTCATTTTCTCTATATTCTATTCCCACCCAAACCCACGGTGTGAGTCATGGCAGCTGGATTCACCGCACTTCGGCGCTGGGATAATGATTGCTCAACTCAACTGAATTACATACAGTACTGTTATGTACAGTCATATTGAAACTTTGCGTGCAGGTAACTTGAGGTCAAAGGTTCTGTAGTCATCGTTCTTACTGGCATGGGACCTGTTTCTATTAGGCCGAAGAAATTCGGCTAGGAGGTGAAACAATATGAGGGTAACATCCATCTGCCATTACAAGGTATTCTAGCCATCGTCATGTGTAAAGAAACATATTAGTAGACAGAAGCAAGGTTTTAGGAATTTATCTGTCTCGCTAAACGGCCGTCCCTTGGCTTTGGTTATTCCCGATGTAAGTAAAATGGCCAATTATCACGGCCGATTGCGTCTCCACCAGTTACTGGCGTTCCTAGTCTACCAGGGGATAAAAAACGTGATCAAAGAGAGGGTGTACGCAGCTTGCTTAATAATGTTGCGGCTGTGCTGTTTTACTTAAAGCTACCAAGTGGATGAAGTTGACTAATTCACCCATCTTGGTGGTCACATTAGCGGCGGTGCGTGGTGAAGTGGTGAAAGACGAACCTATTTGCATGAATCTACGATATCGCTTGCACCGGACGTGAGTTTCACTCCGTCTTAGTATGCCTTGGATGCTGTCGTATTCCTCCACTTGAGCGTGGTATCTTCAAGTTTTTCCCCATCTTGCATCGCTAGCATCGTTTGGCGTCGCCTCATACGCAGCGATGGTGTACGCTGGTGATTTCTTGTTGGCGGCATTTAGATCAGTTCATTACATCAACAATCGTTACATCCTAGGTTGCTTTGATCTGAGCGTCTGTTACGTAAGCCCGTCCTCAGATTACTGAACATGGCCGGAGGCATTATGATATTAGGCACGAAGTGGGTATTCTGTGATTTGGCTTAGGGGAATAAACTCCTCTCTCGTTCCGGTTTTTTTTACAACTCGGCTTTTGTAGGCTTTTATTGTGGCAACGTTTCGCTCTTGACGTAAGAGTTTCTGATCCTTTGCCTCCCATTCTGAGCGACAACCCACCATGTACTTGGTCTGAACTTTTGCAGGACAAGGCATGCACTCGGCACGCTTGGTGCGTCCACAGTTATCGCCTGGTCTGATCGACCGTTTAAACTGTGATGCTGAGTTCTCCTCTAGGCTACGGTGCTCGAGAGGTTTGGCCTTCAAATCTGTAAGCATCAACAACAACAGCAGTACATCAGCCATTTTAACTGATCATTCGCTGCCATACAACCATGATAACCTAGGAAATAAAGAATAACAAGAGGGAGAGAAGGGGGACTGTTATAATTGGGTCGCCACTGTTATGATTGAGAGAACGCCGCCTCTCGATATGGATTGCGTAACGCCTGATAAGATTGTCGCTGGCCCGATTGGAGCACGCCTACGATAATTGCTTGTAACGCTGGCCAATCGAACGGAGTTGCGCTGAACTGATGACGCTAGCTTAGCCGGGTGAGACGGAAAATTGAGCGAACGTGTGACCGATCCTAGCCGCAAGTGTTCGGATAGACGCTGACCCCTCGGAACGGGCGCACACGAGAGGGGGGTACGATAGAGGCGCGCTAATGACTTAGACTCGAAGGCTGGCCAGCTAAAGACTCACACGCAATTACGTGACCCGACCGACTCCCAACTGAGGCGAAGAGAAAGAAAAGGCAAGTGGTCCTCTGTAGGCTCTTTTACGACCGAAAAAGAGCGGTCACAGACAGTGCTATGGGTTATTAAGTTAAGGAAAACTGTCACCACGAAGAGGGGGTAGTTTGTAAATGACCATTGTCGAAAGGTGCGCAGTTGGGACGCGGCTCGGAGTGGCTGAGCTTTGCTGCGTTGTGGGGAGGAATTGGACCCCGCTTCCCACAGCCATTCTGTCGGGGTTTCTGGCGCGTTTTTGCGGGGATTTTTGACGAGCCCGCAACAGGGACTTACCTGAAAATCTTAATGCCTTAAGCAGACATTCGGGGTCAATGCGCCTACACCTAGTGTAGACAACATACCGTCACAAACAGCTGGCTATCGTGCAAAGATAAGGCGGCATCGGCGAGACAGCTTCCTTGCGGCTTTCACTGCCACGCGTCATAATCAGCCATTACCCAGCAGATAACTCAGCACCAAACACACCTTAAACAGGCAATCCGACTAGGAGACAGCAGCAGACGCGCCACTGGTGTCTACTGCGAGCCATGTCCTGTAAAGTCTCGAGCCAAGCACACGGCGAGTCACGTGGACTCCAGCCCGGATGGCGAGATGGACCAACGGCACCCAGTTTGGTCGTCAGTGACTTCATTTCCCGCTGCCAATTCAACTTCTGTCCACCTCGAACCTTGCGCCACCCTACACCTGGCAGACTAAACAAGGCCCTCTTAGGTAAGCGGTGACCAGACATACGTAGTAAGTGCCCAAGCCAAGGCAACTTATTCAATGCTATCTGTGGTTCTAAGGAGCTAGTATGATTATCATTACCTAGTACTCGGCTACGCACATCATCATTGCGGACACGCTGGTGCCATCCCACTCCAGCAATGCTTCGCAGACATCGATGATCAAAGACTTGAAGGCGTCTCATATCTTCCGACCGAAGGGACCAAGTCTCACTACCATAGAGCGAGACAGCCCTCACTGTGACCTTGTATACACGGCGTTTCAGACGGATGGAAACTCCCTTCTGTCGTGATAGATGCCGCAGGTTCAAGAAGACAGCTCTGGCCGTTGCAATGGGTGAGCAGACGTCAGTTTGTATGCGCGCATCGTTGCTGATGCAGGTGCCAAGGTAAGTGAATTGATCAACTACCTCGAGCTCTTTGTTAGCAAGGATCATGGGGTCATAACGTGGCTGGTGGTCCTGCAGCAACACTTTGCACTTTGAAGGTGCGAAGTGGACACCAAATAATGGGACCCCTCTAGACAAGCTACTTCCTCAGGGCTCTAGTATCACCGGGCAGTATTATGCTAACCTCCTGAAGCAGTTGAGCGATGCGGTTAATAAGGAACGCCGCGGAATCCGGACCAAAGACAATGCATCTACCCACATGTCCAATGTTGTGACTGACAAATTGAACAGCGTGGGTTTCTAATTGGTCCACACTTCACTTGTTCTCCTGATCTGGCCCCGTCAGACTATTATCTCTTCCCGAAGGTGAATAAACATCTGAATGAGCGACGTATCATAAGGATTTCTGACTTCAACAATGCTGCTTACCACTGGGTTTATGCACAACCAAATGACTTTTCCATGACCGGTCTAGAAAACCGCAAATACGCTGCATTAAGTGCATCAGTCTCTTGGGTGAATATCTTGGGTATCCTATTGTTTATGAGCCTTAGGACATGTTACAAAGGCCGTCCTTTCCTGTTTATATTGGCTCGGAACAGTGGATCTTAAAACAATGATAAATGGCGTTTTACTCCTTCTGTATTTACCGGGTGCGTAGTATAATTTGCGCTTTTTTCCGACTAATTAGACGAATGCTGTTCCCCAACACACATTCTTCACATATCTGCTTCGGTTGATCAGTACTTTCGCTCCTTTTGCCGGCATTTTTCGCTACTTACCAGCATGGCGTACCTCGCCAACTTTGGCTTGTATTTCATTTTGCTTTTATTCAAAAAGGCATGCCGAAGGGAATAACTGCTCCTCATCCGGTCGGGATGGTTATTCTCACCGTTATCGTCTTCTTTTTCACCAAGCCCATTTGCCTGCGGTCTATGCATGCTCTTTTGTCCATTTTTGCTTTTAGCATCGTTGTTTTTCACCTGTTTTTTCACATCCTAGTGTTTTCTTCCAGATTTTTCTTGTAACTGAGGCGTTGGCTGACGGTGGAGTGCGCATGGGTGTCCCACGCCGACTTGCACATAAGCTGGCCGTCAGCATGATCGCAGGTGCGGCTGCTATGATGGAGCAGACTGAAGCGGATCCGGCAAAACTCAAGGTGAGTATGGTAGCTATGCCTTAACTTCCTCTCCAACGCAGTTTGTTTGGTCCCGCAGTTTAAAATCCTTCACCTCTTGACGATATTCTTTCGGTCACCTTCCACCAAGCGTTTTGTGATGAGCTGTCAATTCAAAAACCTATGCATTAATCTCAGTGGGTTGTCACTTAACATCAAACTGTGTTTCCAGGTGGGAGCTTTTCAGCAGTACGCCGATACTGAACCACTTACATCACAGACTCAATAGCCTGTCAGCTGATTTAAGTGATAGATTGACTTCCCTGCTAAACGATTGGGCGCAGCTACGCATCGCCCCAAACCGAACGCAGTATTCTTGAGCAAAACACATTTCCTTAAGTTGTGCTGGCCACGTTCCCCTCCCGGTTGTGCCTAAGAAACACTTGAAAGCGAAACAGAGCTCATTTTCTGCACCCTGCAAGAAAATGGACATCCCATCCCATTCATTAAAAAGCATTCCATACCGCCTGATTCTGCCAAATCTGTCGCCACAATGCCAAACAAGGATATCTTTATTATTGTCTCTTTTAAAGGTGACATAACGTTGGAACTGTGGAATAAAAAACTTTCAATTGCATTGCGTAAGTTGTGTATCCAACTGCTAAGCTAAAAGTCCCTGCCGAGGCAAGACCTCTTGTTATAATTGAGGAACGCCGCCTCTTGAGATAATTGCGTGACAAGATTGTCGCTCGCACGGTTGGAGCACGCCTACGATGACGACTTGTAACGCTGGCCACTCGAACGGAGTGGCGCTGACCTGATGACGCTAGCTTAGCCGGTGAGACGGAAAATTGAGCGAGCGTGTGAACGATCCTAGCCGCACTTGTTCGGATAGACGCTGAGGCCTCGAAAACGGACGCACACGAGAGGGGGTACGATAGACGCGCGCTAATGACTTAGACGCGAAGGCTGGCCAGCTAACGATTCACACGCAATCACGCGACCCGACCGACTCCCAACTGAGGCGAAGAGAAAGAAAAGACAAGTGGTCCTCTGTAGGCTCTTTTACGACCGACAAAGGGCGATCACAGACAGTGCTATGGGTTATTAAGTTAGGGAAAACAGTCACCACGAAGAGGTGGTAGTTTGTAAATGACCATTGTCAAAAGGTGCGCAGTTGGGACGCGGCTCGGAGTGGCTGAGCTCTGCTGCGTTGTGGGGAGGAATTGGACCTCGCTTTCCACAGCCATTCTGCCGGGGTTTCTGGCGCGTTTTTGCGGGGATTTTTGACGGACCCGCAACACCTCCCTTTGAAGAGAGAGCGTACCGCTTCTGGCGAGGATTGACCTGGAGGGATTTCGGTGACCTCCGGATTCTTTCTGTTCGTCGGCAAGGCAGGTTCTCCAGATGCGGCGACGATTGAGCGGCTTCGACCGTGCTCTGTCGTTGTGTGGCCAATCCGAAAGTATCCAGCAGGATGTGCAGCGGCAGGCGCACGGGATGGCTGGCTGGCATGGAGGTTTCTTCGTGGCGCGGACGAAGTTGATTGCGATGGCGAACCCAGGTGTCATCACCTACGGAGACATCATGAAGCATGTCACCTCGCCTGGCCGTCACTGTTGCTTTGATCCAGCGAGGATGACCTGCTCGGTAATCGCGAGCGTAGACTGGGGCTCCGACGACGAATTCTTTATGCTTGTTGCTGGCACCAGAGTGACTAGGTGGCTTCTCAGTCGGAATGAGCGCATCGTTTGTGGTGCGTAGCTTGCGGCCCATCAATGCTTCAGCTGGTGACTGGCATCCTGGCGTAGCTGGATTCGGTGTGGACCGGTACGAGAGCAGGAACGCTTGAAGACACTCATCCACGGTCCCCTCCCCGCGAGATTTCAAAAGCGCCCTCTTGAATGTGTCGACAAATCGCTCCGCTTGACCATTGGATTGGGGATGGTAAGGCGGTGAGCGGAGGTGTTCGATGCAGTGTCGGCGGCAAAAGTCTTCGAAGACGGAAGACGTAAACTGGGTACCATTGTCGGACACCAAGACCTCGGGAAGGCCATGTTGACTGAAGATTCGTTGGAGACAAGCCAGAGTGGCGGATGCGGTTGGTGGGTTGACGGCGACCACTTCTGGCCATTTGGAATAGGCGTCGACCACGACCAGATAGGAAATGCCATCGATGGGACCAGCGTAATCGATGTGCACTCGAGACCACGGTTTTGCTGGCGGATGCCAAGGAACTGGTGATTGGTGTGGTGGCATCTTTGAGGCTTGTTGAGAATGCTGGAACACGGGGGCGGATTGACTGGCTTTGTCGTCGGTTCGGTCGTTTGGTACTGTCGGAGAATGTACCACGTTGCAGATGGCCCGAAGAGGAAGATCGGCCAAGCCAAGGGTTTCGAGCCAGTCGAGACCAAGCACGTTGAGCTTCGCCTTTGTGATGTAGCAGATCGCGTTGAACGTGGCGCCCCGGAAGGAGACGGAGCAGTGCAGCTGCCCAGTTAGCTGCACGCGACCACCACAGGCGCTGGTGGCAGATTGGGAGGTCGGTTCGAAAGGTGGCTTGCCAAGGGATCGCCAGAGATCCTCGGAGATGATCGTGATGTCCGACGCAGTGTCCAACTGCAATCGGACCGACTGACCGTTGATCAGGACGTCGACGAACTTTCTCCGATCCGCAGCGTTGATTTGGAACGTGGCCAGCAGGCTCAGGGAGCTGCCAACCGGACCAGGTTTGGGTGTGCGTCTGGGTCGGGACCTCTTCTTTGGATCGCGGGTGGGGGCCAGCCCAGTTTTGGCCCCCTTGGGAGATGGAGGATGGCAGTAACCATCCCGGTGCCCCACCCTGCCACAACGTTGACAACGATGCTGGCGGAACTTGCAGTCGCGGTGGAAATGCCAGGCACCACAGAATCGGCACGCGTAGGGTGGGGACTTCGCTCGGTCGGATTGGGTGGGGCGCGCGGACGATTGCGCCCTCGGTGCTGTGACTGCCTGGACCATACCAGGTGCGGCGGCGTTCTGGATCATTGCAGAATCGTGCTTCAGGTTGAGCAGCGTTTGACACTCCTCGGCCAGGTTCTGGAGTGTGACTGAGCTATCCTGTTGTAGCTTGGACAGGAGGCGCGTCCGGATATCGGCATCGTGTGGAGACTGGAGGCCAGAGACGAAGATCAGGCATTTGAATTGGTCCTCGGTGAGCGAGCCAAGTTGAAAACGTTGGCATTCACGGTTGACCACGCCCGCGTACGTGATGAAGTCGTCGGCATCACGTTTGGCCAGCTGCAGACACTGATAACGAGCATTGAACAGAGAGGACTGCTCGCCAAAAATCTGTGACAACGTTCGGACCGTCTCGTCAAAGGTAACGTCCCGTGGGTTCCTCGGCAAGATGAAATTGGTGTAGCGCTGGTGTTCGAGCGTACCAAGTTTGCGCAGAAGCAGGCGGACCTTCCACGCGTCGTCCTGGCAAGCCAAGTCAACGGTGAACAGGTCCTCGTACCGCTTGTACCAGGATTCGAACGTTACCCCGGCCTTGGCGTCGTACAGGAATTCGCTGATGCCGCTAACCACATGGTCCAATGACTGAGAATTGGCGCTCGGACCTGCATGAAGGGAAGAACTGGAAAGCTTTTCGGTTAGCGCGGACATCAATTTAAGCTGTTGCTGCAGCATCAATTTTAAATCGGCATATTCGTCAGTCATGGTTCGTCAACTCTGTCGCCACTGTTATAATTGCGTCGCCACTGTTATAATTGAGGGAACGCCGCCTCTTGAGATAATTGCGTGACAAGATTGTCGCTCGCACGGTTGGAGCACGCCTACGATGACGACTTGTAACGCTGGCCACTCGAACGGAGTGGCGCTGACCTGATGACGCTAGCTTAGCCGGTGAGACGGAAAATTGAACGAGCGTGTGAACGATCTTAGCCGCACTTGTTCGGATAGACGCTGAGGCCTCGAAAACGGACGCACACGAGAGGGGGTACGATAGACGCGCGCTAATGACTTAGACGCGAAGGCTGGCCAGCTAACGATTCACACGCAATCACGCGACCCGACCGACTCCCAACTGAGGCGAAGAGAAAGAAAAGACAAGTGGTCCTCTGTAGGCTCTTTTACGACCGACAAAGGGCGATCACAGACGATGCTATGGGTTATTAAGTAAGGGAAAATTTCTACCATGACGAGGTGGTAGTTTGTAAAAGGCCATTGTCAAAAGGGGCGTAGTTGGGACGCGGCTCGGAGTGGCTGAGCTCTGCTGCGTTGTGGGGAGGAATTGGACCTCGCTTTCCACAGCCATTCTGCCGGGGTTTCTGGCGCGTTTTTGCGGGGATTTTTGACGGACCCGCAACACCTCTGAATCCTCGCACTTAAAGGACAAACTCCCAATCAGGCCGGAATTCTTCATCTTATATAACTTTACTTGCACCGCTAGTGCAAGGTATCATAAACATACTGGGTCCTTCAAACAGATAGCTGAAGACTGTCCTGCGTTACTACGAAAACTCACGTTGGAACATATCAGCACCTTCATTACACAACACTCGGTTGAAACCAGCCATCAAGTCTTACTGAATGCGTCTTTTGTAGTTGTTTATGTCATCCCTAACACTACCGAAAGAAGCTCAAGCAACATCTAACGGCACAAGCCATGAGTTTGCCTTGGACATAAATTTGCTCCAACATTCATCATCATCATCATCAACAGCGGTACATCAACCATTTTGACTGATCATTCGCTGCCATACAAGCATGATAACCTAGGAAATAAAGAATAACAAGAGGGAGAGAAAGGGGACTTACCTGAAAATCTTAATGCCTTAAGCAGACATTCGGGGTCAATGCGCCTACACCTAGTGTAGACAACATACCGTCACAAACAGCTGGCTATCGTGCAAAGATAAGGCGGCATCGGCGAGACAGCTTCCTTGCGGCTTTCACTGCCACGCGTCATAATCAGCCATTACCCAGCAGATAACTCAGCACCAAACACACCTTAAACAGGCAATCCGACTAGGAGACAGCAGCAGACGCGCCACTGGTGTCTACTGCGAGCCATGTCCTGTAAAGTCTCGAGCCGAGCACAAGGCGAGTCACGTGGACTCCAGCCCGGATGGCGAGATGGACCAACGGCACCCAGTTTGATCGTCAGTGACTTCATTTCCCGCTGCCAAGTCAACTTCTGTCCACCTCGAGCCTTGCGCCACTCTACACCTGGTAGATTACCTGGTAGGTAAGCGGGGCCTAGGCATACGTAGCACGTGCCCAAGCCAACGCAACTTATTCATTGCTCTCTGTTGTTCTATCATTACCTAGTACTCGGCTACGCACATCATCATTGCGGACACGCTGGTGCCATCCCACTCCAGCAATGCTTCGCAGACATCGATGATCAAAGACTTGAAGGCGTCTCATATCTTCCGACCGAAGGGGCGAAGTCTCACTACCGTAGAGCGAGATAGCCCTCATTGTGACCTTGTATACACGGCGTTTCAGACGGATTGAAACTCCCTTCTGTCGTCAAAGATGCCGCAGGTTCAAGAAGACGACTCTGGCCTGTGCAATGGGTGAGCAGACGTCAGTTTGTATGCGCGCATCGTTGCTGATGCAGGTGCCAAGGTAAGTGAATTGATCAACCACCTCGAGTTCTTTATTAGCAAGGATCATGGGGTCATAACGTGGCTGGTGGTCCTGCAGCAACACTTTGCACTTTGAAGTTGTGAAGTGCACACCAAATAATGGGACCACTCTAGACCGGCTATTCAGGGATGATTGTGCCACCGCAACATCGTCGAAAAGCAAGACGATTTTGTCATCATATTCATGACCAACTAGTCTTTCACCGGACGGCACTTCAACGCATACATCGTGAGATTCTGCATTTCATTATAGAATCCACAACGAAATTGAACAAAAATGGGGAAATCGGACAACCCTGACGAACGCCACTTTTGGTCGGCAAGCTATCCGATAGGCCACCGTGAACGCTGACGTGGCCTGCAATGTTCGAATATAGAGCAGGAAAGATGTTCACATTTTTCGTGGGAACACCTTTCCGCGCAAGTATTTCGAACAGATTTGATGGATCGACTGAATCGAACGTACTCTTGAAATCGAGAAACAGAGCTATTGTCGGTCTGCGGTAGGCGTGGCGCTGCTCCAGCACCTGCCGCAAAGTGAATATATGGTCTATACAGCCACGCCCTGGGCAGAAACCGGCCTGCTTTTCCAGTATCCGAGATTCCCGTTCCGCAGTGAGGCGACCAACGACCATCGAGGCCAGCAATTTTGTCACAACTGGCGTTAGGCTAATACCCCTCTGGTTAGAACAGTCTGTGCGACTGCCCTTCTTGTATATTGCCACCATAATCGATTCGCTCCAATTAGCCGAGACGCTCTCTTCTTTCCAGACACATTTGAATAAGGAGGTCAATGCTTTGCAGAGGACCTCACCTCCATCCTTAAATAGTGCAGGTGAGAGGGAATCCGGACCAGCGGCACGAAAACAGTTGAGGGCTGTGATCGCGTTTCGGACCTCGGCCTCTGACAGAGGCTCTAAATTAACCGTCCATGGCTCGTCCTGCATCACCTGAGTAGGAAGAGGTCCGGGAGCAGGGGGCCAGCGGAACTGAGCTTGAAAGTGTTCCGCCCACCAAGCCATACGGCGCTCCTTATTTTGTATCAGCGCACCCGCGCTGTCCCTGATTGTCTCACTGACGCCTAGTTTTCTGGGACCAGTGGTGCGGATTAGTTGGAAGAGCTTGCGGTAATTGTCTACTGCTCCTGCCTCCTCCATTTCTTGAACCCGACTGATCCACCACGCCTCCTTGTCAGCAGGTATGCTCCGCTTTAGTTCACGCCTAATAGCCCGTTTGGCCACATTGTGCTGAGTGCTAGCCGGGAGGTTTCTTCTAGATTCCAACAGGTTCTCCGGATATCCGGTGACTGGTGCGGTGACGATTGATAGTGCCACAAGCAGATGCTCTTGCGTCGTGCATGGCGGCCAAGATCCTATTCCACTGAAGCTCAGTTTCATTAGGATAAGACAGCGAAAGTGCGGTATGCAGTGCGTTTTGATAGTCTTGTCTGACCGAGAGCAAATACAATTTATCATTTGCCAATCGGAGGAGACGCTTGGTGCACCTCCCGGTAATGTTCATGGTAAAGTGGTAGCGCACCAACGCATGATCTGAGTCAACGCAGCTACTCCAGTACGAGCGGCAATCCAGGATGGAACCACGTCATCTGTTAGTTATGGCTATGTGGTCAATTTGGGTCCATCGCTGCCCAGCTACAGGAGGACGCCTAGTGGCACTTCGGCGCCCACTGTGTCTAAAAGCAGTTCTACTAAGTAACAACTGGTGATCCGCACGCAGTTGCAGCAGACGCGCACCGTTGTCAGTCCGTTCGGCGTTAAGTCCATACTTACCACCCAGCTGAGCTTCTGAAGAGCTCAGACGCCCTACTTGTGCGTTCATATCCCCTGCAAGTACTATAATATCTGAACTAGTATCACTGCGTAACAGCGCATTCAGTTCGTGATAGAATGTGTCCTTGACAGCATTTGAACTGCAGTCGGTTGGAGCAAAAGCGGAAATCACAAACAATCAGCGTTTCGTACTACTTCGTGAGTCAACCTTGGCTGATGTCGTCAAACGGGCTGCACATAAACGGCTGTTTACCGGTATCTAATCAACCAACGTTGGCTCAGGGTTGGAGCTTAGAATGATACCTACCCCAGCTTGACCCGTGAGTGCTGCATCGGCGTCTCCGGATGCGTGCAACCAATAACGAGAGGATAAGCCGGGTGCAATTAATTCAACAAACCCATTAGGGTCATTGATCCTAGTTTCGGACACAACACACATCAACACCCAGTGTATCCAAGGTGCGTGCGAGTGCAGCCTGCTGACCTGTTTGTCTTAGAGTGCGAACATTGAACGTTGCCATGGAAACGGGACAGCGTGACCTTATTAGGGACGTTTGCCGATAGGTGCTGTAGGATGGTGGCTGCAGATGATTCTACTCCAGTGGCATTTCGGTTGTTGTCAATTAAGCTGGGAATTATAGAAGGAAGGTCAGTAATGGGGGTCGGGATGGGAGTAAGAGAAAAAAGTGGAAAAGAAAGAAGGGAGACGCCAGCAGTAGCATGTTTTCGCTTATCCGCCCTGCTGTATGCAGCAGATAAGGCGATCCTTGATAATCTGCGCGACGGCCGATGCAGGATGAAGTTTATGTTTAAAGAAAAAGTCATGGTTGTATGTGGGCTGAGATACTGCCAGGGCGCCCAGACCTAGACAGAAGGATGATTAGGGTCCTCATCCAAAGCCTTTGGCTCAAAAGCCTGTCTGCAAGGCAGCGGGGAGGTGGCAATGATTTAGTTTTACAGAAATGGACGTTATCCCATTTCAAACCCCCAACCTGGAGGACCAGGAGACTGAGTTTGTCTGACCTCTCGCCATTGACCAACCTGGTAGGAGTAGCTCTCAAGGTGCCCGGAGGCACCACCCAGTATAGCTCAATGGATTAAGGAGGTAGGCAAACCGTCACACCGTGTTAAGGTCCAGTGTCGTTGCGACACTTGCACCAACATTAATAGTTCAGCGTTATTCACGTGTGTTTTTACATGCTGCCTAACCCAATTGAACAAACCATTGATTGATATTTCATACAGCTTAGTTTACGAGTTGGACACATGTGTCGTTTCTTTTATGGTCATTTATCAAATCCTGACAAATCTTTCGTTTATTTGAATCATAATTTCGCTTTATACTTGTAGATGCCTGAATTGATTTATCGACAAGAATATTTGTCGGGCGGTTTCTTTCTTTGTTTGCCTAACAGTTTAATTCGGTGGATCTTACCATCAAATCAAATGAGTAAGAGCTAGCAATAGACTACATGGATGCGTCAGTTTTTCGCAGCCCTGCGTTGTTCACATCAGGCAGGCACCACTTCGTTTGCAAGACAGACATCTTGCTGCTGATCTGTCATTCAGGAAGGCACCGTGGGAAAATACCAATGCATCCATGAGCGCACGCGAATTGCTCCGATTTGAAGCCGTTAGAAGTACAATTTTCGTGGGAAAACCATTTTCGTAGACCTCAGGTTTTTTCTCTCTTTTAGTTCGTTTCGACTTTTCGCGCTGCACTTTGATCTACTAGCCTTGGCTAATTTTGTTTGGTTCGGCACGATTTCCATATCAACATAATCTTTTTACTACTCTGGATTTTGTGGCTTTAACAGGATGGCCAACTTTGGTCATTTGTGGTTGAAAGCACACTACTGTGGGGCGTCGTTTTCTCTTGCACTTCAGAACGACGTGTGTTCCCCTGGAGGTGCCACAATCGCCGCAATTCATGCTTTAGAGGAAGGTGGAGTACGGGCTGCCTTCATGAATGCCGTTCGTGCGGCCACCGAACGCTCGGAGCACATTAATAAATGAGGAGCTGTGTTGTCTATTGCCTTTTCCACCATGCATAATTGTACCTTATCTTCTTACTGCAAAAGACGAAGGACCATCGATCGTTTCTTCTACTAATTACTTCACTCCATTTATCATCCATATTGTACTCATTCCGCCTTGGAGCTGGGCATCAAGCCATTGCACTGATCATCTCTTTTGAACGCAGGTGGACGCTCGATTGTGAATACGACGAATTTCCTCAACTCCGAAATGTATAATAACGTTTTGATAAGTTTTGCCTCCATAACACTGTGACATGGGAACATTTCACTGATTCATCTGATTAAGTGGATCATGTGTCCGCAACGGTCGGAGAGTGATAAGTGAGATATTCTGAATGGAACGGATTTATTTGGAACATGGAAAAAACTAGCCAATTTGTAAGAAGGCATTCGATATTGTGCGATGTTGTTAATGGGACAAGCAAGCATGCATTGGAGACATTTCATGGTGGCAAAGCATGTAGAGGGTTCAAAAAGCCATAAGTGGGACGCGAAAACGGGAGGATTTGCTGGGATTAAGCAACCGACGCAAACGGATGGAGTCACCAGAAGCATTAGTTGATGAGTCGTGCACGTATGTAACAAACTCCGCTAGTCATCTATTCGCGCAGCTCCGCTAGCCAATTTCCAACGTTGAGCCTCCAGTCGGTTCTCTGGCTTTTTATTTGTATGAATGACGCTCTGCAAGAGAACTACGTCATGGCTCATGGATGCGGCCCAATCATCTACATGTAAGGGTTGTGTACAGTGTCTGCTAAATAAACAGTTTGTCCATATAAGTAATTCGGTATTGCTGGCGAATGCCATGATCAGTATATTCACAGGTTCCGCAACACCGCTGGTATTTATGATGGTCATACCAATTCACGTTGCTTCACATCACCTATACGCCCACAAAATATGATCTGGGTATTGGTTAGTAGTTAAGTGTGAAATACCAAGAGCACACCTTCCGAAGAGACTGATATCTGGACTTGGTCCATCCGTTGAAATGAATGTCTGTTGCCCATAACGCTACAATCAGTTCAGTGTTGTACAAAGAATACTTACAGGGGCAAGGAAAAGCTACTCTGAGACGATGGTTTTCCCATTTGAAACCATGTCGCACAGGGAAATTTGATACTCAGTGATTATATGGTACAAATCTACCGTGTTCAATGCTGGGGACGGTGCATCGTGTGCATTCATGGCCATAAGCTGTGCAGTGGGGAATTGATAAACATATCCTAACGTGAATTTCCCAGCCATCTGCTAGTTTATATATCAAGCTGAAAACACGAAGTTGGATAGCCATGAAATAGCACGCTGGATTCAGGGGATGCTGTAGTCGTAAGGAGCTCCAAGTATTAGTTTTTAGAACACCCGCCGTGTCTGGATTGCGACACGTAATCTCAAGCTCCAGATATTTTCCTTCCGGATGGAAAGAATCGCCTTGTAGCGAACTACTTTTACGATACCATGATTTCATTCGGCAGATTATGAAAATGAAAATACCGGATGAAAACAAAATATAATCGTATAACTCCTCGTATCATGCAATACAAATGTTTCAAGCGAGTTTATTGAATTGGTACCTTTGCTGCGCGTACCTCTAAGGCAACACAGATCGGTGAATTAGATGCAGGTGGTAAGAACAGAAACGTCTGATGAGTGACCGGTTTCCGATGTATAATTGCACATAACCTAACTAGTATATATGCTGCGTTCCGGTAACATCACTTAGCATTAACGACCGGGAACAAAAACAAAGGTATGGGGATTTTGACAATTAGGGAGGAAACAGTGCAATAAACTACTTGCTACATCATATAGGTTAGTTAAATGCGTTTGCAGCCGCACCACCGGTGGAAAGTATCGCGTTGTTGCTCTCCATGGAGCCCGTGAAGGTGAAGTACATGCATCCGGTTAAGCGAATGTTCTGAGGTGTCCTTGTCATAATCACATTGCTGAGCAACTTGTGATCAATGACGACAATAAACACGTGCCAAACTCATCCAAGAAAGCTAACCTGAATGAAATGGTCGAGTGGTTGCAGTAATTTCGATTGGGCTTACCACAACTCTGTCAGGAAACGCATGCGAACTCCATTTCTTTACTTTGGGACTCACCGGCATCGCAAATCGCCGTCGAACCTTGTTAGAATCCACAATCACGTGCCAAGCAACCATTTGAGCAGCTAAAACTCGAACAGCTCCGAAATGACTGAGTTACGGATAGCGATAGTTCGTCAGTTTCCGGCCACCATGCACATTGTAGGACGAGTTCTGGAGCCAAGACTTTCCTCGCTAAGCAACGAACCGTTAGCTCGCACATTTGCTGATTTTAAAATAATGGTGGATATATTTTAAGAACTTCACTAGCTTGGGTACGGCTACATCGTGACATCCGGAAGACACGCGAACGGGAACGTTATTCATTCTCGATGATGTGACATTAAGTGATAAGGCATGAATGGCTGTGTTTGTGAACAAGGACGCTGTCGGGATGAGCTAACCTAGTCGGGAGAGCGATCGGGTCACACAGCCAAAGTTCATAGCTCAAATGCCCTAACCGAAAGTGTGAGCGTGGAAAAGGTATACAAGGTAAGCAGCTTACACATAAATGGATATCGCCTCAGTTTCATTCCCATCCTGTTCAATAAACGTTACTGCGATAGTCGTATACCTTTAAATAAGTATCGCTCAGGATGAACCGGCTCGAGTAGACCGCGCGTCAAAAAGCGGAGTAATTACATCAAAAGCAGTGTCTTGGTGGTCCGCAGCGTTGTACAATAAGGGATATTTACAGAACGGTCAGTTCAAGAATATAAGTATAAAGTATTGGTATTCAGTGAAAGGTAGTTAGTGCATAGAAAAGAACGGCGGGGAAAAGTACTCCAATATCTAGGTCTGTTTGTAGACACGATGTGGAAAAACGCGACTACGTACAATGAAATGAGGATGTCTAAAGCATTGTGAAGCGCAACAATTTGTTCCAGTGATATAGTTGGCGCCTATCACTCGTAAGATAAGTATAAAGTTTGCCAAACAAAGAAACAAGTACGAAATGAATGAAAGCCCTCTCGGTGTTACATCAGGATTGTGTAAGTGGGGTGACGGGGCTCGGGGAGCACATGGTAATATGCACATTGGCATTGAAAGATGGGAAAAAATGAGGTAAACGCGAGGCCCGAATTATAAAAATAACATAAAGTATATAGTACGTTTACAGGAATAGCGATCTGCTGTGAAAAACACTTGGTGGATACACCGGGGGTGTCAAAATTTTGTGTTAACAGGAGAGAAGGGTTTCGGTGTTGCATTTGAGACACCGGATGTAACAGTCTGAGAAGTAAGCAGTCCTGTGTCTATCGATCGGCGATGTTTCACGAACCGACGCTTGACTTGGCCGACCGCCGCTGGTATCGATTCCGAAGATGGGATGAACTGGATCCACTGACTGGTTGGCCGATCGGGTGTAGGGTGAGGAGTAGGCTGACTATGACAGTCCAACGCGGACGACCTTCGATTGAAACGATCAAAGGGTGGGAAAAGTCGTATGTATTCTCGAATGAGTAGCTCCATTAGGGCGTGTTCAAATTTCATTCCGGTCAGGCAACTTAACGGGTCCGAATAGGACGAACTCATCAGACTCGGAGCGAGAACCACGGCCAAGTTTTGCACTGACATCATGTTCTTCTTATGATTGCATGCAACTCTGCCAATTGAAGCGTGAAAGAGAAAGGAGATAAAAATTAGTATTCTTAACGGGTCATCGAGCTAAGCAGAAGTGATCACAAACATTGCATAACGGCTGCATGGTAAAACGAATTAGATCTGCTAAATACATATACCAAGCAAACCACACCATACGAACAGTTAAGGAGTAAAATCACTGGTGGGTCAATGTTGCTCAAAGTTCATCGGACTGTAACCACCAGCTTCAACGATGCAAGGCGAGAGTGACTACGAGACCGGTCTGTTTGCAGAATGTCTTAACCGCCTGATTGCCGGAGTTTTAACAGGTGGGCGGTGTGTGTGGATATTACCTCTCGAAAAACAAGTGTATAAAAAAGGCACGCGGTGGATTACCCCATACCCCGTGTGACAACGAATACATTCTAACGTTTGAGAAACGTGGTAGACGCCTCCGACGAAAATGATCAAAAACAGTCCATATCTGACGAGGAGCGAGGGACGAAGTTCTAAATCAAGAGATCAAGACAATCACAGTTGTCTGGCTAAAATGACCGTAACTCTCATTACCAACAGCAATATATCCGGATCCTGAGTTGATCTTTCGTTGCCCTAGGAGCATAAATCAGAGGTTACTGTAGTGATAAAGAGAATCTGGAACCCCAGAGTAGGAGATGAAGTGAACAAACAAATTAGGAGTCAATTAGCCTGCAACATGCAGGCAAAAAGTGGTCGGTTATTGTGTGCTACACGAATCCCAGTGATTTGCACTGCCCGCGTCATCATCCACCGCATGCACATTTCACACATGAACAAGAAAGAGCACACTGTCGCAGTGCTGATTCGGTACGAACCCTGCACCAGACAGAAGTAAACAGACGGTCGCAATCGTTGAGGATAATTGAAAGTGATGAGGGTACCGTAACATATAGAGCATAAGCTGCAGGACTCTGACGCAGCCTTAATATCCTAGATGAAGCGGACTAGCGGCTGGCAATCACTCGTCTCACATTGCGTCCCTGGCGTGTGGGACATTGGGTCCACAAAGCATGTCCCGTACCTCTTAATCAATTCGATTTATCCGTTGATCAAATGGACCACGTTGACAGGCATCAAATGATGTTGCGCTTTCTGATTTCGACCTAAGTTACATTGTTGAGCACAATTAGTAGTAGGCAGCCAGAGATGAAACGTTCAAGAATTGTTTCAACCTAATGAGGTAACAGATAATCGCGGGGCCCCGCATGAGCCCAACGCGTCTTGAGAAAAGAACACTCAGACATCAACGTTGCGGGTCTATGTTTTACATTTAGAGCGATGACAACGCATTGGATTATCAATAACCTCTCGAGAACGACTCGTTTGTTCCATGCTCGTGTACTACAAGATAATAGACGATAGTCCAGACTGCAATTATGTGGCACACCCAGAAGAGTGTAACGGTATACAAGGGTAGCGCAAAAAATATTCGCGAATTCTGTACTTGGAAAGGCTTCGCAAAAAATGTGGAGGCGCGTGATAGTTGATGATCTCAAAAGAAACCCTTTATCTCAGATGAATAAAAGTATTTCGTAAACAAAACTTGCGAGCAACAGCGACCAGAAAGTAGGATGTTGATCGATTTGAACATAATTGTTAAACCGAGGGATAAAGTTAGGGTCAGTTGCTTTTCCATTATAAATTGTAATGAAAAGTGGATCTTTAACTACAATCGACGACAAACCTCTCAACGGTTGGACCACGATTAAGATCCACAACACTTCCTAAAGCCGAAGTTGCACCCAGAATAGGTTATGGTGACTGTTTAGTGGTCTGCGGCTGGTTCGATCCAGCACAGCTTTCTGAATCCAGGGGAAACTATTACAGCGGAAGAGTCTTGTCAGTAAATTGTCGAAATGTACCAAAAACGTCAACGCAGGTGCCTGGCACTGACTTCTCATCTACCAAGTACCACTTTTTCGAGCACTTGGATAACTTCTGCTGAAAGAGGTTTTAAAACCCAAGGAGATACTGAAGCCGCCTTCGACGATTTCATTGGCTCCATAACTCAGGAAGTTTATTTATCTGGGACAAATAAACTTCGTTCCCATTGGCAAAAGTATGTCACTTCAAATGGTTTTTATTACGAATAAAAATGTTACGTTTGAGCTAAGATATGTGTATTTAAAGTTTGAGATTAAAATCTACTTTATTACCAACGTAATAAGACGCTGAAAAATCCAAGCTCTGGCCTTGATCTGTGTGCTCGTAGTGAGAAAACAGTTAGGAATGTGGATTAAATCAATCAACGATGACTCATCTGCTTAATTCACACTATAACCAGAGTATAGAACGGATCAATAGACTATTACGCGAATCGCCGCTGTGTGCGAAACATCGCTCATCAAATAAGACCACTATTTAAACGATACCAGGGTTCATATGTGAGTAGTTTGGCAGTGGGCTTTTGGACACACTGGTCAATAAGCGTGCACAGCCCATGTTATCTAGGTGATTTAATTCGTAATCATGGTGACTGTTTCCTTTAGCGTGTGTTATCCATCGCAAATTCACTTAGTTAAGTCAGGATTCGTAGTGTGGTAAGCGAGTAAGGAGAATTTGAGAAAAGCAGACAATATCAGAATGCAACAATACGCGCCACTTGTGTGAGGTCCGATTGGGCTGATGAACTATCGCAGGCGGTGGTGGACGTGCCCTCTGCTACGTGTTCCACTTGCATTCTTTATGTGTCCCGTTCGAGGAATAGTGTGGTTGAAACAGCACTGGCAGTCCCCTCAAAACACTTCGGCTCGTAGAACAGAAGTTAATCCCGCACAACAAGCGCTCTCCTTAGTAGTCTCTGGATCGAAGTTTGGAAACATACGAAGCTACTTGCTAGTAACACAAATGGTCTAGTATTACTTCGAACGTTTGGGAGCTGTCACAGATAAGGGCTGTCGTCGGCACACTAAGTCAAGAAGTGGGAGCAGCACCACGCCTTGAAGATCGTGCAGCGAACGCTGTCTCAATGAATTCGTCGATGGAGAAGAGGAAAAAGGCATCAGCATTACGCCGGTACCCAGTACCAACGCTTCGCTGCCGCGCAACCACCACCAGTCGCATGTGGGCTAAGGATACTGGGAGGAACGCTCGGTCCCTACGCAGGCTCGAAACCGCGCCCCAGGATCACAAGGCATGCTACGGGCCGACCCTTAAAAAAGCATCAGCCGTCGATGGAGGTGACATCGGGCATCTTTGTTTCATAGTGTTAGAGATATGGTTCCATTAGACTCACAAGGACAGGGTCAACGAAACGAGGAAAGCAGAGTTGCTGTGACGGGTTTCAGACCTGAGTTCCTTCGGTAACTGGGTGGTTGCGTAACGAGGAAGATATCGACACACTGGTAGGGAGCTTCACAAGTTCAAAGGTGTTGGTTGCTGTCACCTTCAGTGCACTTCTGTGTAAGTTCCCTCACTGTGAAGATCAATGTTCCGTATGTTCTATCCAGTTACATATGAGTTAATGTGTGCACCGTAAATCCATTCAAGTTGGCCGGGCTCTTTTCCATTTGAAGAACGAGGACGCTATGGTTCCGTTGACTTCAGTGGAATAACGACCTCGACGTGAGCCCAAAACCATGAGATTAGCTTCCCCCAAGCGCATCAAAATCGCTTGTGAAAACTAACTTGATAAAACCTTTTTCTTGAACGACGTGCACACCATATTTTTCATTCCCGCAGCTTTGAAGGTTACCACTCGCCATGCATTGTTGCAACTAAATGCAGTTTTCCCACTAGAATCGGTCAAGTAAATCCATCTGGTAGGACTTGCAAAAGTCTCAACAAGTGTCCGCTAATATCCTACGGCTGTGCAGTCCGTAAATTGCAAGCTCCGATTAGACCATGGCATTCCTCTATAAACGGAATTCTTCATGAGTCGGTTCTATCTGCGACTGACAAGAATAACGAAATATTGCCATGTACTGCCTTGCAGGCGACCTACAAACAGATATATGTGCTACTGGAATATCAAATCAACTGCAGGATCTGCTGTCAGGCAGACAATGAATTAAGTTAATCAGTCAGAGCATAGTTGAGTAATCTACTCAGTGATACGTCTTTACGATGAGGACAAGCTGGCGCTCGCTGCGCACATCGTCGCAACGAGACTGGACCTTAACGTGGTGCGACGGTTGGTGTACCACCTCGATCCATTGAGTTACACTGGGTGGTGCCCCCGGGGCCTTGAGAACTACTCCTACCAGGTTGGCCACTGATTAGAGGTCAGACAAACATAGTCTGCTGGTGCTTCAGGTCGGTGACTTGAGATATGATGTCCAATGTTGTAAAGCCAAGTGCCACTTCTACGCTAGTTTGGTTGAAAACCCTAATCGTTCTCCTGTCTAAGTCGACACGCTGGCAGTATCTCACCCTACATATAACTATGACTATTGCTTCAAAGTATGACCACATCCTACACCGGACGTCGCGCACATTATCAAGGGTTGCCTTAACTGCTGCATACATCAGGGAAGATAAACGAAAACATGATACTGCTGGAGCCTCCTTTCTTTTCCATCTGTTTCTCTTACTCCCTCTCAACCATCATTACTAACCTTCCTTCTATAATTCCCAGCTTAGTTCGCAGTAGCCGCAATGTGACTGATGTCCTATCATTCGCAGCTAACTTCCCGCACCACCCACTAGATCGGTAACAGTCCCTTATAAGGCAACGCTGTCGCGTTTCCCTGGCGGCGTTCAACATTCGCACTCTAAGACAAATAGATCAATATGCTGCACTAGTATACACGTTTGATACACAAGCTATTGGCGCGTGTTGGGTATCCGAAACAAGGATCAATAACCCTCACAGGGTTGTTGAATTAACTGCGCCCGGTTCGTCCTCTCGCTATTGGTTGCACGCATCCGGAGACGCTGATGCGGCAACCATTGGTCATGCTGGGGTGGGCACCGTTTTTAACTTCAAGAATGAGTCATCCTTTGTTGATTGGATTCCGGTAAACAGCCGTTTGTGTGCAGCCTGTTTGATGACATCAACTAAGGTCGATCCACGAAATAATACTAGACGCTGTTTGTTTGTGACTTCCGCTTGTGCCCCCACCGATTGCAGTTCGGATACTGCCAAGGATACATTCTATCACGAACAGGACACGCTACTACGCAGCGCTACTAGTTCAGATAACATAGTACTTGCAGGGGATATGAACACACAAGTAGGGCGTCTGAACTTTTCAGAAGATCAGCTAGGTGGTGATTACGGGTTAAACTCAAACGGACGGACAACGATGAACCTCTTTTGCAGCTGTGGGTGGGTTTTTTGTAGCACCGCTCTTAGACACACCGGGTGCCTAAGTGCCACTTGGTGTCCACCTGTAGCTGGCCAGCGATGGACCCAAATAGACCATTTCGCCATAAGATACAAGTGGCGTGGTTCCATCCTGGATTGCTTACTTCGACTCTGATCATGTCTTGGTACGCCGGCGTTTTCCATGAATTTTACTGGGAGGCGCAACATGCATCTCCCTCAATTGACAACCAAGAAATTATCTCAGTCCTCCGTCAGGCAAGCCTACCAGGATGCAGTGCGTACCGAACTTTCCCTCTTTTAGCTTAATGACACTGACGTTCCGGGGAATGGGATCCTGGCCGCCATGCACGACGCAGGAGCATCTGTTTGCGGCGCTATCAATCCTCAACGTATCAGGCAATGAATATCCGAGTGGTTAGTGAATCTATTGGAATCCAGATGTAACCTCCCGACTGGCTCTGGGCACAATGTGACCAGACAGGCTATTAGGCGCGAACTAAACTGGAGCCTACATGCTGACAAGGAAGCCTGGTGGACTATGAGACCTCAAGAAATGCAGACGGAAGCAGTAGGCAATTATCGCAAGCTCTTCCAGCAGATTTGCATCACTAATCCCAGGAGACCAGGCGTCAGTGAAACAGAGACGGCGCAGGTGCCATTATTCAAGATAAGGAACGCCGTATGACTTGTTGGCTGGAGCACTTTTGAGATCAGTTCAGTTAGCCACCTGCTTCCGTAAGTCTTCCTATTCAAGTGATGCAAGACGAGTCATGGACGGTTAGTTTAGTGGCTTCATCGGAGGGTGTGTTCTGAAACGCGGTCACAACCCTTAATCGTTTTCGTGCCGCTGATGCGGATTCCCTCGTATCCGCAATATTTAAGGATGGAGGTGAGGTCCTCTGCAAAACACTGACTTCCCTGTTCGAACATGCTTGGAAGGAAGAGAGCGTCCCGGCTAACTGGAGTGAGTCCATTATAGTAGCAATATACAAGGATAGTCGCACCGAAGGTGCTAACCATAGGGGTGTTAGCCAAACGACAGTTGTGACAGTTACTGGCCTCAATTCTCGCTCGTCGCCTCATTGCAGAACGGGAATCTCGAAGTAGGGAAAAGCAGGCCGGTTTCCGCTAGGATGGGGCTGTATAGACCATATATTCACTCTGCGACAGGTGCTAGAACAGCGCCACGCATAAACCAAGCCGACAATAGCTGTGTTCCTGTACTTCAAGATTGCGTTCGATTCAGTCGACCGATCCACTCTGTTAGAAATATTTGCGCGAAAATATGTTCCCACGAAATATGTGCTCTATACTCGAACATTACACGCCGCGTCAGGGTCTATGGTGACTTATCGGATACCTTTCCGACAACAAGTGGCATTCGTCAGGGTTTCCCAATTTCCCAATTTTTGTTCAATTTCGTCGTGGATTCCTTGAGGAATCCCACGATGCAGGTGTTGTCTGGCAAAAGGCTATTTGATCTGGATTATGCAGACAATATTGTCTTGTTGTTTAGCGATGTTGCGGCGGCGCAATCAACCCTCTCAGGAGTGGTCCCGTCATTTGTCATACGTTTCGCACCTTCAAAGTGCTGCCGCACGACCACCAGCCACTTGATGCCCCATTGACCCTTTATAACGAGGAACTCAATGTGGTTGATCAATTCAGTTATGTTGACAGCTGCATCGGCAACGATGGACGCATAACGATTGAAGTCAGTTCACGCGCTGCAAAAGCTAGAAGTGCCTTTTTGAATCTGTAGCGTCAGAAAAGGGTCTCTCTCCATCTAAAATGTCGTTTAAACAAGGCCACAGTGAGGGCGGTCCTACTCTATGGAAGTGAGACTTGGCCCCTCCGATCTGAGGACCTGCAGCGCCTTCAAGTCTTCGATCATCTCTATGTGCGAAGCATTGCTGCTGTCTGATGGCACCAGTGTATCTGCAACGATTATGTGGGTAGGCGAACACTAGGCAATGATAACCAAGCTTGTTCCTTAGAACAAAGATAGCACTGAATAAGTTGCGTTTGCTTGGGCAGGCATGCCTGTTCGTCGCTCACCGAGGAGAGCCTTGTTTGCTTATGAAATGAATGGTGACGCAAAGCTCGAGGTGGGCAGAAGTTGACTTGGCAGTCGGGAATGAAGTCACCGACGAGCTAGCTGGGTTCTATCGATCTGTCTCGCCTTCCAGGCTACAGCCCACGTTCCCCGCCTTATTCTTGACTCGAGACTTTACAGAACATGGATCGCAGTCGACACCAATGTCGCGTCTGCTAATCGGACTGCCTGTTGTGCGTGTGATGCTGAGTTATCTGCGGGATAATTGCTAATTATGACGGGGAGCAGTGAAAGCCCCAAGGAAGCTGTCTCGTTGATGCCGCGTTCTTTGCACAATAGCCAGCTGTTTGTGACGGTAGGTTGCTGACAAGGTGTAGGTGCCTTGACCTTGAATGTTTGCTTAGGGCATTGAGGTTTTCCGATAAGTCCTTCTTCTCATTATTACTATTCGTTCCGCAGGTCACTGTGGTTGTATGGCGGCAAAGCATCGGCTTAAATGGCTGATTACTGCTACTGATAATGATAATCGCCGCGCACAATGACAGGGAATCTACAAGTAGGTTGGATTTTTTAACTGACAGGCGACTCTTCCATACACAAAATTGGCAGTACTGTATGCTTAAAACAACTCGTCAGTTTTAGGCTACTTAAATGTAAGAGCCGAACCTGACTCATTCGTTATGCACCTTTCGTGAAAATCGAGAACAAAACTTATTTATTCAAACACCGCTGATAAACACACGAACGCCAAACAAGGTAAATGACGGCAAATGGCTACTACAAAATGTGTCGAAAAATGTCTGCCGACGTTTTGTTCTTATGTGCTGTTCGAATTGCTGAAGAGAACTAACCGCTTTAAACATGTACGCTTTTTCCTATCATGGCCCGTAGTCTTAAGCATCACAAGCAGACCCTGTAATCCAATGGCAAGAGTTCGAGTCTATGTAGAGACCGGACGCCTTTCGTGGTATCCTTAGCGACTGGTGGTAGTTGCGCGGCAGCGAAACATCGGTACAGCGTATCGGTGTACTGTTGACGCCTGTCATCACGGGAATGTCGAAGAACTCTCAAAGTCGAATGCGGTACCTGTGATTCGGATTGCCGTGATTGGCTTCAAAGTCAACCGTTGTCCCGGTAAGATCGCATGCCGCAAGCCAGACAAACAGTGAGTACACTGAATCTAAACAATACAAGCTCATTCTTCTGAGCACACGATGAGTTACACACTCAGTTTCCCTCAAGGTATGCGATGGAGCTGCGTTCAGCTCGGGTGGTCCACTAAACCTTGTTTAATGGGCCACGATGTGATTGAAAGAGTTCACCAAACGCGTTGATGAAAAGTTAGGTCGCAGTTCATATACTGCAACAGACACGTAGGACCAATCGAGTAGTGAGGTGAACAAGTTAGAAAACGGCAAATAGAGCAGAATGGCTAGTCGAAAAGCTTCAACTGACCTGTGTATATGGCGCAGGAAGAAGCGAAGGCTTTCGTAATGAGCAGCAGGTAAGGTGGACAAAACGATGGAGATTTCGACTAGCTTTTCTGCTTCGTTTAGTTGACTGTCACCTGTACACGAAGGCAGTAAGATAACGTGGTCGTTGTATGGAACGAGAAACAGGCGCGGAATAGGTTGTCCATAATGAATGCTGAGTTGCTAGTAACTAAATCAGAGAAAAAGATTGACCGAAGTTACTTAAGTTAGGCCTAAGGTAATAACTAAGGATTTAAAACAGTTATTTCCCTTCAATAGTTTGAATAACAGATTAAGAAGGCGAACGCTGGCAGATGTGCGCATTTCGTATTGTCACATCAGTACCAAAACATAACGAGAAATTATCTTATACCGTTCAAAGGGAGTTACCAACCAATAAAATGCAGTGAGGTGAACGGCGGCGATGGTCCTAGGACCAGGGCAACCGAAGGTCAACCACTGATTGTTTCTGCATACACAGGGCAGGTCTCAGCTGGCTTATCGCCACTGCCTTGGCAAACCGCAAAAAGCGTGGATTGAAATGACGTAATAATATCCGAAACGCGCAGCCGGGGTCAATCTGATGACGGCTCAACGTGTTCGCTAAATTCAACTTTGGATTGCTTTCCGCTGTGCCAAGCGTTGCTCGCGGATCTCAGTATCATAGTGTTCAGGGCGTCAGCTGTGAACTACTACGCTCTGAGTTCCACCCCAGCTCAGGCTATCGTCACCAGATGAGTTCAAACCAGGACGAAACCGCGGTCGTGGTGTGCCAGTGTTGAGAGAGGACCAACACCCAAATATTTCTATTTAACATGTCTGTCTATTGATGATGCTGACGGCTTGCGTGCACACGGATTATTGAGTGAAGGATGACTGGCCTCAGGATGAACCCAGTTGGGCAAGTGTTCCTTCACTCAAAAATTCGAAACCCGCTCAGTCCTGCCTATGTAGCTGACGCCACAGTTGCATTCAAATTGATGAATAGTGTGGTTTGGGGTTGATGGGTTCATCTTCCTTTACTGAACGTAGGGACAGTTTCTGGGTTCTGTTGATCAGCACATCATCTGCAGCGCATTAGGTTCTCTGAATGGTAGAGATTAAGCACTTGGTTGTCCTCGTTGTGGCGCTGTTACCCTAAAATGGGAGCTCGAGGCATACCTTTTTCTATGCTATGCTATGCTCTTTCTATGCTGTCAATACCCATTCTTTCGGCGATTTGACCTGGCTATGCTTCTGGATGAAGCGTTTGGGATAACCGTTCTCCATGAGTGTTCTGGTTATTGTCTCTAGCTCCTCAATCAGACAATTGCTGGAGCAAATATAAGTGGCATGAGTGAACAACATTTTCACCAGTGCACGCTTGTGGCCCATCGGTGTGAAACTGGTAAAGTGTAGATATTGGCCAGACTATGTTGGTTTCCGGTAGACGGACCGCCTAACAAGCCCGGTATCCCATCGGATGATGAGAATGTCGAGGTACGGCAGACTCATCCGTCTCAAATTCATGAGTGACTTTTAACTTGACATGGATGCTATTAAGCTGGTGCAGAAAGCGCTCAATTTGCAGTCTCAAAGAACCTAACATGAGAATGTCATCGACATATCGTTTGTAGTTAGATAGTTAAGATATCTCTCCACTCAGGCTCCTCTCTATCATTATCATGAAAAAATCGGCCAGTACAGGGCCTAACGGACTGCCCATAGCTACTCCATCGATTTGGCGGTATGAGGCTTATTGGAAACGGAAGCAAGGTTTCCTGTGCACAGCAGCAGAGATTGTCTGAACAAGTCTGTCGGTATTTGCATTTGGAACTTTTCGACATCAATCAACTAGCATATGTAATGGACTGTCTCGATCAAATGCACATTAGTGAACGTCTAAAGAGCACATGACCTTGGCTAGGTTAATTTGATCGAGATCTTCAATGGGTCCGAAGGAATCCTTAAGGCCGTGTAGATTGAATTTTTGTCTGTGTGGGGCTAAGATTCTCACTAACCAACGCGTCAATTTATGCTGCGGGGAATTCACCATTGATAAAATTAGTCGGAGTGCCATCCCTTCCTTGTGCATCTTTGGCAGCCAGTACAGCTGTGGCATTGATGAACCATGCGGCTTAAGAGTCTTAAGTCTCGTGGTCGATTACGTGATGCAAAAGTAGTTCTAAATGGTGGTTGATGCGAGATTCTATCTGGAACAGGCTCTCCGGTCGATCGATAGGTTGAAATTTGCTCTTATCGCTCAGAACGCCCTATATTTTCTGATTGCAGTCGTTTCTATTCATGACTACTGCAACTGTTTGTCGACCGGTGGCCGAGTGCTCTGCATGCCTGGTTTGCAACCATAAGGTCCCCGGTTCGAATACGCGTACGGGTGGGCGTCCTCGCGGTATAGTCAGCCCGTGCACGACTGGTGGTAGTCGCGCGGCAGCGAAGCGCCGTTACGGCGTATAGCTGACACATCACGAGTCTTTATCTGGCTTCAACATAACCACTCCCTTATCCTTTAGCTCTCGTAACGCCTGCAAGTGTTTGCATGTAAGAGCACCTTACTTGTTCACCGGTACCATCAGAACCTCATGAGCGATGTCAATCAGTTTGTTTCTAAACAAATTGACAGCGTCCCGGCTGGTTGGTTGGAGCTCTGTCAACTGGTTGAAAAACCTCAAAACCTGTGCCTGGACGAATAGTCAGTTCATGTTATTAGGAATGACTTTGTACTCAAGATCTAGAGATAAGGCTTCCAATTGTAGATCATCAAATTGCACATTTGGTACGTTGCACATGTTCCGTAGACGTTGCGTGCACTTTGCCTTCGTACGATCAAGGACCGTTTTAGAAAAGCTGGCGAAAACTATACAACACAGGGATAGACCAACGAGTACTGACATCAGACGAGCGTGAGTCTCCATCAGGCTTGCTAAAGAAGACTGTATTGCATCCAACCGGGCGGAAGCAAAGCCATAAAAACCCATTTTTCTGTAGGTTCTCAAGTCTATGAGTAGCAGAGCTGAAGTCACAACCATGTAAGATCGGTAGTGCATACACTCACAGATATATAGATATATAATCCACACTATGTGGGTGAAAGATGAGGGAAAACAAACAGGTTACAGATGTCCTTGCATTCGCTCCGTTGTTTCGCTTATCGGACTGATGTATCGTCTGTTTACCTTCTTTAATTGACAAGTTTTCTGTTTCGCCATCTTTTAAGCTCTTACAATGGCGTTAGTGTTGTTACTATAAGTAAGAAAACTTAAGTCGATGTCACAGTATCCATCACACCTGAGTGTGCAGTGTGTACGGGCAATCAACTCGATAAGGTAGATGGGCAGCAGCAAATTGGGTGCGGCTGATTGAACCGCTGACGAAAGTACATGGAGAAATGTGGGACCAAGTAGGCGGCTGAATACTGTTCGCCACTGTTCAACCTTCCTTGGCTAGAGGTTAGTCTCATCGGTTAGTCGGAGAATCCATTGTCGTGTAGCGTGAAGAATGATACGAGCTCATGGCGCAAACTACACTGCAAACACACTACATATACAGGCAAAACACTTACGAATAATATCCATGAGTTTCGGGTACGCCTCGTACGTGATAAGAGGCACAGGTAACTGACGCAAAAATGCTTTGATCAGACTGGTAATAACATTCACATCGGGGATGCGAGAAGGGGACAATACAGCTGTTTCAGAGTCTAAAAAAGAAGGAAAGATGGATTATGAAGAACACCCTGATTTGGTCGAATTTTTCTAAGTGGTTATAATACCTGTTTAACATGTGAAGGGCAACGAAATCACGGCAAATGAAACAAGTTGAGTTCATTAAAACTAGTAAAAACCTAATCGATCGATGCACCGGAGAAAAGCACGGTGAGCGATCAAAGTTGTGGGAACATAGCGGAGCAGTCAGTCACATGTAGTCCGTAAATATATGCACGAAGTATCACAACAAATATGTACTCTTAATTATACATAGTTAATCGGAGTCAGAAAAGGCTAAAATGTTTAGATCCAGTCTCATTAGAAAGCTAAGTGGGAAGACTGAGCCATTGAGAAAGTGGGAATCGGTAGATTTGGAAGCAAAAATACTGAATTTCACGCTTATCGAGGCTATGGCAGTGTGAAAACAAATCATCTCTACATTTATATCCGAATCTTTATAAGGATCAGTCGGAAAACCCAAGTGTTGAGGAGCTTCTAATGGGGAACTGCATTACAACGTTAAAAAAAGCACCTCGCGTTTTTATCATGGAGTTACATAATCGGTGAAATACGACGGAAACTGGATGGCCGATGGAACAGAACCTAGCACATGAGCCGTACGTATATGTCGATAAGAGGAATGTGTGGGCTCCGTCACATGGTCGAACAAATAAAGCATTTTGAGCCCATTCTGCAAGAAACGAACCCCAAACTCAAGGTGATGTCAGTTGATGTAGGTACTCTTGTCTCAGGCTAAGAGCCAAAAGGCCTCAAGGAGGTGGGGACGCCTTGGCGATGGACAAGATCAGTTATCATGCCTACCGGAGGGGACGCGGTTATCGCTTTGAAAAACACCTTAAGGAAAAAAAGAGATGCACCAAAAGCCATGTGTATTTTGCGTGTGCGTATGCAACTCTGTGCATTGGCCCCACTGTCGTGGCTATCGGTAGATGAACTTAAAGGACTCGTGGTGATTAATTGCAAATTACGTCGCATGTTGCCTTCTTTTTTTGTGACCAGTTGTTACGTTATGTAAGTATACTCATCTTGTGATACGGCCATTCTTCTGATTTTGCTTGAACGTAACAAAAAGCGCATCATGAAAAAACCAACAACTTGTGTCAAAGCGTTTTGGGTATTAGGGCAAAAATGAGAGTTACTATAATCGAGAATGCAATCAGAACATAAGTGGTTGCTTCTCACAGAGAATCGGAGGACACTAACTGGACAAATACATTAAAAGTATGAGAAACGATACAATGAAAAAAGTACTGCATCTCAACACCCACCTATTTTTGAGAGGATTCGTCGTAGTTACTCACAGCCATCAGCACCACCCATCCAAGAAGACGCTGGACGGTCGTTTCGTCCCATTGGGACTCATCAGTAGCGCGCATCCATCGAATCCCCTCTGATTCAAATCCACGAGCTTTCTCTGTTGAGTCAGCGACTAATGCCACTGAGCCATGGGTGACGGCAGCGGACTGACATGATTGATATCTAACTGCGATACACCGCGGCCCATCCTCTAATGTCATGCGTGTTACGCACGTGTAGAGGACAGGGATGGCTCTCAGAGCTACGACTGCCTTTACAAGCCGCCACCAATCAAGGTAGCATGTAAGCGCCACTTTTAATACTCACTAATAATCAAAATCGGCTAAGCTTAAAACATAACTTGTAAAAGCAAGGTCAATGGTTCGAATCCGGCAGGAATAGGTGGGTGCGCGCTACTGACGAGCCCACTAGGACGAAACGGTTGCCTAGCACTTTCCTGGATGTGTAGTGTCCGCCTGACGGAGTCTAGTATGGACGAATCCATTAAAAAGCACAATGAATCCCTTACTATTCATTACTACCCACCTATTCGTATTTCAAAGGTAACCGAGTATTGTCATGGTAACCAACATCTACAGCTGTGCAACAGGTGCGTCCTTGAAAGTTCACCTAAGCTTAGAAAAGCATTGCGAGGTGGGGAGTATCAGGTATGAACAGAGGCTACGTGGAACCACAGGGGGAGAAAAACTACCTTGCGTCTGCGGTAAGAAATGGCACTAAAGCATGGCAAGTGAATGCTGAAGAAAATCCTGAATAATTACTGGACGCCGCGGTTAAAGTCGATAGTTCGACGGTTGCACATGAACCGTGGGGATTACACCGAAACGTCGGTCGGAAGTGGCCACAAAAACACGTGAAAGGGGAAGGAAAAATGGAAAGCGCAGTTACTACGAAACAGCTTGCACCAAGGAGTCTCGTGGTGTCAGATCCGCTTGTTGGATAATCGGGCGGATAAGCAACGGAAAATGACGGCAACCAGGTCATGGACCAACACCGCGGGTGATCCTTAATCAGCAGTTGGGTCGTAATTTTAAGATTCCAGCCAGACGTCATACTTCATCATGGGCCGCTTGAAAGGAACCGTTAAAGTAAGATAATCACGAAGCAGCGGTGTGCACTTCGCACAGCAAAACAACGGGATACTAGCATTGCAGGAAAGTATCGCATACATGCGTATACCTACGAAAAGCTCAAGAAGAGACAGCAGGAGGGGCAAGAATTTTATGCCATAAACTAATAGCGCATCGGTGTGGAAATCGGCAAACAAATGAGCGGAACCCACGCGTTTTAAGTAAGACTTGTGGTGAACAGGTGCCGCGATGTTCAGCTGCTTGGTTCGTACTGAGGAAGTTAAGAACAGAGGAGCGAATGCGAAACAACCGACCAAATGCGTCCGATTCGATAACGTGATCGAGAAATAACGCAATGAAGTGGATAGCACCCGTCCGCAAAAGGTACACACGAACAGGACTCATTCCTCCGACTAATAATAACTACTGAGGCAGGTAAATCTCAGATGCATGTGAGTTAAGCGTAGCAAGTAACGCAGGGTTTATGCATTTGTTAATGAAAGTACTGGAAAGCCACAAATTACTGCATGTAATCCAACCGCAGGCACGTAAAGTTCAGAGTACGTTGAGTACATCGTTAACGCTCATGGAAAAAGATGCACAGCTGCCACGTCAAATCGGTTTTACTGTATTCAACTGTGAATCCAAGCAAAGCAGGGATGACAGCGAAATGCAAATAAGTCAGCGTAAAAACACGATTCGCTTCCAATAACGCAACAAGAGCGAATGGCTCTATAGGGGAGCGGATCTTACGAGAACTCTATTGATCATTGAGGGAATGAGGCTATCCGAAAATTAATCTGAGAACGAAGTATTGACGGCCGAGAGACAGTGGAAAGTATGAGCATGTAGGCTAGGTGATATTATCGCAAATAAAGCATAACCGATGTTGATTGTAGACCAGGAGCGGAGATAGAAATGCTAAATTAAAAAGGGCTCAACAAGCGGATCTTAAATTTAAGGGGAAACATCAGAAACTGAAAGAATCGCGATAAATAATTCGGGACAATGAAATGACTAGTGTTAATACTTGAAAAATTAATGTTTTCGGTGATAAGACAAACTGTAGTACCTACATTTTAGGCGTCACGAATCTGACGGACAGAAATTCTATAATATTAGAACATTTGCATTACTAGTGCATCTGGCATGAAAATTGATGAAGCTGGCTGGATGATATGCTCCCAAGAGTGGATGAACACGGTGAAGAAACGTACTTTTGTCAAATGCGGAGCGCGCCTGTTCGATACGATCGTGGTTCCCGGGGACACGGTATAAGCCTTCTGATTCGAGAGCTCCTCGTCGTTCTATCTCCTCGACACATCGCTCCAAAATAGTTGGGATTGGCCTAGACGAAGAGATGATGAGAGAAGTGCAAGTTTTAACCGACGTTATGAAATGACATTTACCATCTGCGATATGCCAGTTGCTTTGAAAAGGATATGCGAATTTCCAGTGGTAGGTAGGTATTTTTGCAAATTTCAAAAATACTTGTGGTAGCGTTAAAGCTCCAAGTTGCATTCCTATCCGTGGGACAATACAAGCGCAAGGTAGATTCAGGAAACCACTTATGTGGTTCATTTTTTCTTCACAGATACCAAGGCCGATTGTTTAGATGAAATAACGGAAAGCGAAGTGAGGAAAGGCTCGCATGATCAAGATAGGTGATCATCAGATGTTCAGCCTATTCGAACATTAATAGCAGGGACACAAAATGTTCATTTGTAAGGGTGGAAAACTACTGGTCTATACTTATCAGGGAGTGTAGAGTCAGCGAAAATCGCAGGAACATGTAATATTTAAACAAGAGTCAACCAAACGCCTTTTGCGCGCATAACAACGAAAAATGCGAATGTGGAACGTCTGTAAACCTCGAGCACTTTGAGTAGGCACATGGCCTGCAGCCTATCGCGACGATGTACTTAGCGTATCCGATTTGTCAAGCGTTCTAATGGTCACTAACATTAGTCGTTGTGTAACTTATCTGGCGATAGTTGCTGGTTGTAATGAGTACATAGTCATCGGTTCTGTTTGAACATTGAGGAGGCTATTGATGCAGTTCAAAGCACGAAGGTGAGAGTGTGGGGAACAAAATACAGATCAGGTGGATTTCAAACGGGTCAAATCTTATCCGCCTGTTTGGGTGGATCTTCACTTAGATGTTGTGAAAGATGGAAGCGAAACAGTACACGTGTAAACGTAAGCTATGATAAAACCGGCAGTGACGGTGTGAGGAAGCAGATGGCGCAGTAACAGAAAGACGAGGAGTCTCATTGAGAGAATTCCGGTCAATGTGATGCATGATCAGAAAAACGTGTAATCCGAAGGCGCTAATAACTGAAGTTACAGTATCATTCCTATCAGAAAAGTCAAATTTATGTAGAAAAACTAGAAATGAAGACGAATCGATGGAATAAGTTATCGACAGCCTTTCGATCAAATAAGACAATAATAGGTGTAGGTGGAAGATACCACAATGAAACCCAGTCAGATAGCTATACGCATCCAATAAGGCACTACACGAATGTTTCGGGTACTTGGGATTAGTTAGTAGGGCGCCTCTATAGCTAATTTGGAGCTGTACTCTATCCAAACTGCTTCGAAGGGAGTAAGTCAATTGGTGATTAAGGTCAGACGAATCGTTGCTCGAATGCAAGAAGCTGTTCTGTTCGACTATACTATGCAAGGTAGTAGTCAACCAGCAAAAGTGAACCGGTGACAACTGACCGTATGGGACACCATGCTACGACTGCGATAAAAGATATAGAGAACCACGCGACATCTGCTACAAAGATGAACGAAGATTGATCGCAACGAGCAAAGATTAAAAGGAGGTGACTGTGAGTTAGAGATTAACGCTTCGCAGGAGTGACACGATGTCATGCTCTCGTGAGAGTAAACTCGAAAACATGCTGGTAAATACAACTCGTGAGAAAAAGCCACGTGTCTCTACTCATATTGACACCTGGTCTCACACGCCGAAATTGAGTACCCTAGATAGTCGGATAAGGGTGAAAGTAAGGAAATTTCACCTAAAATGATAGTTGACCAACACAATTAAGAAACTGTGCGGTTTGAAAAATGTCAAATGAGCAAGCAGTTTACTCATCCATGGAACGGACGCATGATGAAAATAAGCGATGTGGGTAGCTGAATGTTGTTCTAGATAAATACAGCCCTCCACTGAAACACAAGCAGATGAATGGAAGCAGATCACGAGGTAGGAAATAATGGTCGATAAATGAATGCATTTGAAAAATTTGAAACGCATTTCCTTTTATACTTCAAGTAAGAATATCAGAAGACGAAGATTGTGGGGTGACAGTGCCCCCCCCCGCTGTGTGTCCGAAAACAGCTGACAGTGACACAACCTACCGCGTGGTAGCGTGCAACAAGCACCAATCGGATAACACTTGATCAATAATTGATTTCATGTAACCTTGTTTTGCATTCCTTTCAGTTGCTTGTATTGTGGTTGACGAGTATGCACGAAATGACAATATCATCCCATAATCTTCGTCTTCTAATATGCTTATTCGAAAAGAATGCGTACTTATAAAACGTGGGACGTAGACTGGCAGCTTCATAGGTACGCGGAGGAACAGATCATGAATGAGTGTGGATTGCCTTTAAAACAAACAACTCAAAGGCCTTAATTTGTATCGGTTGGTGATTGATAGTTGGGGCTCAGGCGACTAATAACGATACGCTTTTCTTTAAGGAGTGATGGGCCGTGATGATAAGGCCTACACAACCAGTGTATTGATCAAGAGCGTGTTATCAATAACTATCGATCGAATAAGACAAAAAGACGTGTAGGTAGAATTTACAACAGTGAAACCCAATCGAACAGCAATATGTATTCAACAGGACATTTCACGAACGTTGATGCATTTTGGGACTTGTCATCATTAAGTCTCTTATTATCGGTGCCTGCGAGGCACTGCTGGTGTCGGATGGCACCGACATGTCTGCTAAGAGTTTGTGCGTAAGTGAATGTTAAATGGTGATTGTCAGGCTAGTTCCCTATATTTAGCATCAGTCTACAAAAAAGAGCAACACATAGTACTGAATAAGTTGCGTTGGCTCGGGCACACGCTGTGTATCTCTAGACATTACTTACTGAAGAGAGCATTATTTTGTTCGCCGGATGTAAGGTGACGCAAGGCTCTAGGCGGAGAAAAGTTGATGTAGTAGAGAGAAATGAAGTGACGCTTGACTGGGTGCCACTGATCAGTCTTATTCTTTGCTCGAGACGTTACAGAGCATGGCTTGCAATCGGCATTATTGACGTGTCTTTTCTCGTTCCCTAACCGGAGTGCTTCTTTAAAGTGTGTGTTGTTGAGTGCCGGCCCGTAGTCTAAATGTAACAAGCTCGTCTTGTAATTTGGCGGCGCGAGTTCCAGCCTGCGTAGAAACAGGGCGACCCTCGCAGTATCTTAGCTCACGTGCGATCGGGGGAGGTTTTGCAATAGCGAAGCGTCGGTACTGCGTACCGACGTACTGCTGATGTCTTTCTTCTCCTTGTTGTTCAGTTATTTGTGGGGTAATGACTGATTATGACACGGAGCAGTGAAAGCCGCCAGGAAGCTGTCTCGCCCATGCCACCTTATCTTTTAATTACTGAAAATGCTCCCACATGAGTGTATAAAGCTTAGCTTGACTTTTCACGATAGCCAGCTGTTTGCGACAGTAGTAGTTAACAAGGTGTAGGTATCTTTAGTCTGAATATTTGTTTAGGGCAATAAGGTTTGACGCTATGTCCCTCTTCTCTCCCTCGTATAACTCTTCGTTCCGTACGAAGGTGAAGCACCACTTCAAATGGATGATGTACGTTTGTAGGTGATAACGACGATGTTTGGAGCAGTTGACAGAGCACAGTTAAAGACCCTAGCTTTTTGCAGTGGTAAAACATTATTTATATGATTAAAAATGAAAATTCCGTGAAACGGCTACTGTGCTACTATAAAATTCTGTGCTTTTCCCGTGAAGACTAAAATGAACGGAAATCAAGGCGCGTTTGTCTAGTATATACATGTCGTTTATGGTTCAAACCCAACAAGGGTGCTTCTTGTTATCATCTGAAAGGTTGTGACGCTCGTTAGATACGTTTTTGTAGGCACTGAAGTTCCGTTCAACGTCTACCGAATTTACAAGAATGCACAGATAATGGTCGGCAATGTCTGCCAGTGGTAGAGTGCTTTCATGCATCCCACTCGAGAAGGCCAGTGTGTCTTCACATTTTATCCATGCATTTCTTCCACCACTTTTCGATAGATTAGCCATTCGGTTGCCAGAGTTGGAGAACCAACCAGATCTGGAACGTCGGCATAGCTGCACCGATTATTGGGCAAAGTGATGAGCTGGTTAGAGTCGAGCATTACAGGGGATTTCAGAAGTTGCATGTAAGTTTAGATTTTGCTAGACGCATCAAAGATCAGTCATGCTGCCCGCGGATGGTGTAGACAGTTTTCCTCAGCGACGTGGATTGATAGGAGAGGTCGTTGCAAATCTCATGCGTCACCAGAGACGGTGATTCGACAGTTTTCAAGTAATGGATGATGTTCTTGCCAACGGTCGCAATACAACTCAGCCGCCATCATTTTACATTTGTTAGAAGATCAACAAGTCCACAAACACCAGCCGACTCGCTAAACTCATGTCGTATACCTTGCAGCATGGCTGGGCAATGTTGTAGATACCTGCTGTGATGTGCAACAGCTTCCGACTAGTAGTTCAAGCGGGTGATGACTGGTGTAGGTGGGCCGGTCGAGTTATCCACGCCTTCTTGAGTTAGATAATCAGGCTAGACGCGCCTCTTTCTTCCAGAAGGACGAAAAGCACTAATCATTTTTTGCAACTAATCCGTCGACTTTCGGAGAGAATTTGAGGAGGGTCTCTACAATCAAATTGACCCGATGGGCAGCGTATGTAATGTGAACTACATCCTCACAAACAGGCTTAATGACATCAAGGTAATATGCTGTCATATGCCTTGCGCCATCGGACACGAAAGCCGCTACGCATCATTGTCAAAACTGCGCAGAATGGCCCCTCCAACTATGACAAAATTGACTCTGTCCATGTTGTTTGCATCGATGAGGTATACTCACAGACAGTCCTCGTTGGACTTCAATGGTGAGCATAACAGGATGTATTTTCCTTCGGTCATCAGTTGTTTCGTCTGTTATGACTCTGAAAAATGTATCACGGAACATCTTTTGTAACCTGTTTCCTGAATAGCTGGTGAATTTTAATACGTAGGGTGTTAGATCCGCCAATGCTTCCAGCATTTCGCATGTGTATCTCCAGAAATTCCCTCAACTGGAGGTTGTTGACCATCCACAT